ATTGCATGATAGAATTTTTCAAGACCAATGGCTTCTTCACCACAAATATCTTTTTAAAGGCTTTCAACTCTATGGATCGTGACAGGCTATTGATAACGTTATAAAGAATGGGCATTCCAGAACTCTTCATTGTGATTATGAGGAACCTGTACATAGACCAAGAGTCAGCTAGTTGTTAAACTAGAAAAAGGTGATGGTTGGTTGGTGGATATGTGCTGTGGCGTCAATTCTGACTATAGGGAACTTGTGGTGCTATAAAATAAGCACTGGATCACAAGGTTGGTTTGAACCGCATGGTTGGTTTGAACCACATGATTCGTGGTTCAAACTCATCAGCTGCTCCTTGGAAACCCTATACAAGGTCACTATGAGTTAGAACCAACTCGATGGCGCTTAAAAACAACATAGGGTTTCCGAGGTGGTAAACCTTTATGGGAGTAGAAAAGCTCATCTTTCTCTCCCGAAGGGTAGTTGGTAGTTTTGAACTGTTGACCTTGCAGTTAGCAACCCAACTCTTAATCCACTATGCTACTAGAACTCATTGAACAAGGGGATAAATGTGGTTTAAAATCAATAAAGGTGTGCACCAGGTTTATAGTCTTTCATCATATTTATTCAATCTGTATACTGAACAAATAATCCGAGACGCTAGATTATATAAAGAACATGGCATCAGGATTGGAGGAACACTGATTAACAACTTGGGATATGCAGATGATACCACCTTACTTGCTGGAAACAAAGAGGACTTAAAATATCTACTGGTGAAGATCAAAGACCTCCATATAAAAAGAAAAATATCTTCACCACTGGACCAGTAAATAACATCATGATAAATGGAGAAAAGTTTGAAGTTATCAAAGACTTCCTTTTCCTTGGATCCACCATCAACACTCATGAAAGCAGAAGTCAAGAAATCAAATGATGTATTAAGCAAATCTACTGCAGAAGACCTCTTGAAAGTGTTCAAGAGGAAAGCTGTCAGGTTAAGGACTAAGGTGCGCCTGATAATAGCCTCCTATGCATGTGCAAAGGAGCTCTGGTAGCGTAGTGGTTACGAGTTGGGCTGCTCAAGGCCAGCAGTTCGAAACTACCAGCAGTTCCACAGGAGAAAGATGAGGCGTTCTGCTCCTGTAAACATTTATAGCCTTGGAAACCCTGTGCAGGGTCACTATGAGTCAGAACCGACTCCACGGTTCTTAACAACAACAACAAAATGTGTGTGCAAGTTGGACAACAAATAGGGAAGATCACAGAAGAATTGATGCATCTGAGTTATGGTGCTGGAGAAGAATATAAAAAATACTACGGACTGCCAGAAGAACAAATCAATAGTATTGCCAGGATGACGAGACATTTTATCGTAAGGGACCAGTCCCTATAGAAGGGCACCATATTTGATAAAGTGGAGGGTCGGCCAAAAAGATGAAGACCCCCAACAAGATGGACTGGCACAGTGGCAGCAGCAATGGGCTCAAGCGTGGCAACAGTAATGAGGTTGACCCAGGACCGGGCAGTATTTCATTCTGCTGTGCATAAGGTCGTTATGGGTCGGTACAGACTCAATGGCATCTAACAACAAAACAGCAACAACAATAGCTAAAGAGTCATGGTAGCATAGTGGATTTCAAGCTGGGCTGCTAACCATATGGTCAGCAGTTCAAATCTAACCGTCACTGCTTGGGAGAAAGATGAGATTTTCTGCTTTCATAAAGCTTTATAGCCGTGAATCAAAAGAATCTAGATTTGGGTTCTAGCTCCATGTCTTGCCAGTTTTGAGACTGTAAACCAACTATTTGAGTCTCAGTTTCCCTCTACAAAATGGAGAGCACAGGCAACTTAGACATTGGCTACCTAAAATGTTGTTATGTTGTTAAGTGCCGTCGAGTCGATTCTGACCCATAGCGACCCTGTGCAGGGTCTCCGAGGCTGTAAATCTTTACGGGAGCAGAAAGCCTCATCTTTCTCCCATGGAGCAGCTGGTAGTTTTGAACTGCTGACCTTGCGGTTTGCAGCCTGATTCGTAACCACTATGCTACCAGAGCTCCTTTAAATGAGGGGATAATAAAGGCTTGACGTGACTGGCTTACAAGGTTCCAAAAGGGAATTTAGTTTAAGGGTATGTGGGGGAAGATAGAGTCCCCACTGAATAGTTTTCATCTTGTCTAGATGGGTCTGGTAAAAAAAGATGGGGATAAGATTCTTATGATTCAATAGTGAGTAATTGTTATGATTAACTGTGACTGTCACAATTGTAAAGGTAGACGTTTTGTAACAAAAATGGGGAAGCAGTTAATCTTACAGTCCAGAAACAAAGGACCCTAGGATCATCAAGAGCACAAGTGGAATGTGAGACCTTATCCAGAGGAGCAGCAACACCAGAAATGGAGGCAGAGATGGGGACGTGGAGAAAGGGAGCAGCTGAGGACTCTAGAGAGCTGGTGGCCAGGAGGCAGACTTACAGAATGTGCCCTTTGGTGGTTTAAATTATTATATATGCCTGAGTGGGTTTTTTTTTTTTTTAAAGAGCTAAAATGAATATTCGAAACATCGTTAACAGATGGTACATGGAGGGGATTATAATGAAACAAAGTATATGATTTGTTGAATGTAAAACTGATGATCTTCCCTGTAAACTTTCATTCAATTCACAATAAAAACTTAAAAAAAAAAAAAAATGGAGAGCAGACAGTCTTATCTTTCTCCAGTGAGAGCTGGTGGGTTTGATCTGACGATCTTTTAGGTTAGCAACCCACTGAGTCACCAGGGATCCTTACCATAGCCCTACTTTGTCTTACCACTAACCTACCTTGTCTCTACAGACTTGCCTATCCTGGACAGTTTACCTAAAGTAATATGAAAACATACAATATATATGTAGTCTTTGATGCCTGTCTTCTTTTACTTAGCAATTGTTTTCAAGATTCATCCATGTTGTAGTGTATACCAACACTTCATTAATTTTATTGTCAAATAATATTCCATTGTAAGGATATATAGTATTTTATTGATTTAGTTATAAATTAAGGAGCTGTGGTAGAATATTGGGTTATGAGTTGGGCTTCTAACTGAAGGTCAACAGTTCAAATCTATCAGCCACTCTTTGGGAGAAAACAGAGGCTTTCTGCTCCTGTAAAGACTTATAGCCTGGGGAAACCCTATGCAGGATTGTTATAAGTCAGAACTGACTCGATGGCACACAACCACCACATTCATCAGTTGATGGATATTTGGGTAATAGTATGCATTTATAGAATTTTTGAGTAGATTACATATGAAATTTATAACAGTTCTTAAAATATGATAATCAGTAAATTCAATTAAAATTTCCTCTAAAAATCATTATTTAAACTATGCTATGTTAACAGTTCAGATGTCAGATATGCTTCTCTAGCCTCATGGGAAGAAAAATAATACATAATATTTTAGATTCCAAGAAATAGGTGAGTCATCCAGTTTCTATATCCAGCACTTTGTCACTGTTGTTGTTAATTGCAGTCAAGTAGGTTCTGACTCATCGTGACCTTGCATAAGGTTTTCAAGGAGCTGATGGTGGGTTTGAACTGCGAACCTTGTGGTTAGCAGTCCAGTGCTTATCCTACTTTTAATTTTATTCATTGTGATAGATGTGTAATGATATCTCATTGTGGTTTTAATTTGCATTTTCCTAATGGCTAATGATGTTCAATGTCTTTTCATGTGTTAATTTTCCATTTGCGGATCATCTTCATTGAAATTTCTCTTAATGTCCTTTGCCTGTTTTCTCATAGGATTGTTTGCTTTTTTTTATTGCTCAGTTTTGACAGTTATATATTCATATATACTTTTAAAACTAGCCCTTTGTCAGATATGTGGTTTGCAAATATTTTTTCCCACACTACACAGTCTGTCTTCAATCTATCTATTTTTCCTTAGGTGTCATGATATAAGAGCTCTTTGCCTAGTACTAGATCCCAAAGGTTTTCTCCTTTTTGTTTTTTTCTATAAGTTTTATAGTTTTGCATTTAAGCCTGCGATCCATTTAAAATTAACTTTTGTATTGTTTTTAAGTACAGTCAAGTCAATTTTAACTCATAGTGACTCTGTGTAGGGTTTCCAGTGCCTGATGGGTTTGAACTGCTGACCTTGTGGTTAGAAGTCCGTAGCTTATCCTACAGCACCACACCAGGACTCCTAACTTTTGTATTATTGTTGTTAAGTGTCATTGAGTCAATTCCAACTCATAGGGTTTCCAAGGAGCAACTGGTGGGTTTGAACTGCTAATTTTGTGGTTTGCCATCCAATGCTAATCCTACAGCACCACACCAGAACTCCAACTTTTATATAAGATGCTATATTTAAGTTGAAGTTAATCTTTTTTTTTTTTCATGTTTTATGAAGTTAATCTTTTTTTGCATATAGATGTCTAGTTGCTCCAGCACCATTTGTTGACAAGATTGTTAATTCATTGAGGTTTTTTGTTTTTGTTTTGTACTTTCATCAAAAATCAGTTGGGCATATTTGTATGGCTCTATTTCTGAATTTTCTGTTCTGGTCTGTTTATCTATGTAGTGATTCCTTTATCAATACCATATAGCCTTGTTTACTGTGTTGTTGTTGTTGTTAAGTGCCACTGAGTCGATTCCGATGCATAGCGACCCTATATAGGGTTTCCAAAGAACAGCTGGTGAGTTTGAACTGCTGACCTTGTGGTTCAAACAAACTTTGCAGTCCAGCACACTAACCCACAGCGCCACACCAGGACTCCTTGATTACTGTGCTATATAATAAATCTTGAAATCAGGTAAATTGATTCCTCTCACTGTGTTCAGTTGCTATAGCTATTCTCATTCCTCCACAGGAAAGATTCAGTGCAATTTCCTGTACACTCGACACTCCAAGTTAATCATGATTTCAAGTTCACCATAGGTAAAAGCTTAAGTTTTGCAACTAATCTGAGATCCTAAGACTAAAAGCAAATATGGAAAAACGATTGGCAAAGCATCAAAGTTAAATGTTACCTTTGTTCCAATGTGTTTGTTCTTGAAAATATCCGTCTGTCTCTTAAATAGTTCTAAGATAGCATTGTAGACCAGCTCATACTGATCCTGAAGAGCATCACAACAAAAGAAAAGACATTTTGGTGAGTTACTGAACCAGATTTCAAAAATGTAAATACCAACCAAATCTTACTAGAGCAAATCTGAAAGGAGCATCACCCCTAGTGTAGTAACAGTGCTTTATATTTATGTGGAGGCCCTGGGTAATGCAAATAGTTAATGTGTTTGACTGCTAACCAAAAGGTTGGAGGTTTGAGTCTACTCAGCGGCACCTCAGAAGAAAGGCCTTCTGATTTATTTCCGAAAACTCAGTCACTGAAAACCCCATGAAGCGCAGGTCTCCTCTGACACACATGTGTTTGCCATGAGGCATAATTGGCTCCATCTTGAGATTTTAAAGTGCTTTTACTATGTTATAAAATAGCCAAGTATTTGATCTACCTCTAGCTAATGTACAGGGTTTGTGGCATGTTTTTTTTTTTTTTTTAATATTTCTAATCCCATTTTCTGGTTTATCTTTTCCTCAGTCGTCATTATCTTGCCTTGCTTGCATTAAAAAAAAATTTCTATTTCGTCCTGTAATTATTTTTCTATAAGTCACCTCCATCTTCTCTAGAAAAAAAAAGGAAATCGGGTTTGGTTGATATAGAATGTTGTTGTTATTAAGTGCTGTCGAATCGGTTCCAACTATAGCGACCCTGCATAGGGTTTCTAAGGAGCAGCTGGTAGATTTGAACTGCTGTCCAGTGCTGATGCAGAATAGACTGCCTCAGTTATGTATTATATAACTTGACCTTTACAAGCTCTGTAGGATCAGCACTAGACAGGTAGGTAACCTCAAGGTTGGCAGTTCAAACCTACCAGCTGCTCTCAGAAACCCTATACAGTGTTTCTGAGTCGGAACTGACTTGAAGGCCCACAACAAGATACCAAAGAAAAATAGACAACTGAATGTTGTTGCTGTTAGGTACCACCATCAAGTTGGTACCAACTCATAGCAATCTTATGCACAGCAGAACGAAACACTGCCCGATCCTGGGCCAACCTTACTATCGTTGCCACGCTTGAGTCCATCAATACTGCTACTTTGTCAATCCATCTCGCTCAGGGTCTTCCTCTTTTTCTCTGACCCTCCACCCTACTAAACATGCTATCCCTCTCCAGCGACTGACAACTGAATAGGGTGTGGAAATTTGTGAATATAAAGGATTTTCACTGTAGAGAAATGAGATCTCTACTATTACAAAGTTTATGATTTTCTACTGCTCCTTTCTTGTTTCTATGTTTATTTAAGCATTTGGTTTTGGATCTATTTTTCAACTAAGTGGGCTTATTCAGGATTCTCCTTGTCACTTTATACAATCTTACACAAATAAAGTACAACTTATTCCAAAGATAACTATAGCAAAAGAACAATGCAGAGTCTCTATCAGCCAACATAGCCATTGTTACACTCTTTTAAAAAAAAAAAAAAAATTTTTTTTTTTTTTTTTAAGAGAAAAATCAAACAGGAAGCACTCCTCTGGTTATAGTGCCATTTCCTGGCTAGAGCAGTATCAGAAAAAGCAGCTACAACTGTTAAGATATTGGTTCATCTGGTCTTTAATAATGCCAAAATGTAAAGGCAAATTTCAAATGGTTTCAGCTGCCTTCTAGTTCTTCAAAATTGCTCTGCAACAGAATATTTCTGAAATGGCCTATGGTATTATTTATTAATTTAAAATCACAATTTAATATTTTACAGTAGCTGGTACACTTCCTGGAATCCTCATACATTTACATGGATCAGCCTCCTTTGAAGTCTGACAGTACTAACCCAGCCAATGCTTTCGTCTCATATAAACTTTCCCCCACACAGATTGAATATAGAAAACACCTACAGTCAACACATGAAAAACAATCATTTTTTTTTTCCACTATTAGTGGAAAACCTGTGTGGGCCAAATAGACAGGTTTACATTATAACAACTCCTCCATTTTTCCTCTGAATTTATAATATCTAGATTAAAATATCTGAACTTCCTCTGGCAATTGTTTTATCTCTAATGAACTATGCAAGTTCATCTGTATGTACTTTAAGCACTTTAGGTCTGACTATTTAAGTAGTAAAAAAAAAAATCATTCTAACAAGCTAATGCAAAAGTGCCTGTTACATAATAAACATTAGTAAATGTTTGAGGAAAACAAATCGATGGATGAATGCTAAATTCTGTCTTAAGGATGTGGATAAAATTAATGGTGTTAATTTTAACCCCATATAGGGGAAATGAACAATGTGAGAGATTTGGACTGAGAATGTTGCACCTCTGAGGCAGAACCTGAGCTGGACTTCGTGAAGCAAGGCAAAGAACATTTCTAACAGAGTCCTGGTATGGTACTGCAGAATAATGCACTGGATCGCAAGGTCAGTAGTTCCAACCCACCATTCACTCCTTGGAAACCCTATACAGGGTCGCTATGAGTCAGAACAGACTTGATGACACTTAACAACAACAATGGAATGAAAAAGTGTGGGCAGTCTAGGGTTGATGAATAGATTATGAACTGGACATAACATTTTACATACTTGTATATAGTATGTAAGGAGCTCTGGTAGCGTAGTGGTTACAAATTGGGCTGCTAACCTCAAGGTTGGCAGTTCAAAACTACCAGCTGTTCTATGGGAGAAAGATGAGACTTTCTGCTCCTGTGAAGATTTGCAGCCTCAGAAACCCTGTGCAGGGTCACTATGAGTCAGAACTGACTTCACGGTACTTAACAACAACAACAATATAGTGTGTGGACTTGTAATTCTGCTTTTAAAAAGTATGCATACAATAAGCACCAAGACTAGAAAAATAGTAACCATAATTATCTTTAAGTTGATAGAGCTATGGAAGTTTTCATTTAGACTTTTCTATATTTTCTAAAATAAGCTCTTAGGCAGTATACTCCAGATTCTTTTACCACCTCCTGAAGTAGAAATCACAGATCTCGGCTTTTCTATAGCTTCAGAGATAGATTTATTACCACAAAATTTCAATGTAACCCAACTCAGCTATACTACCTTCTAATAAGTCAAACATCTTGCTGAGTTATTTTCATCATCCTTCCTAAGTAAGAAACATTGTATTTTTTAAATGATTTCTGGACAATTAAATATAAGGAATCCAAGGAATTTGACCTGGGTTAGGGAATACAAGGAAAATATTGGGCTACATAAAGGAAATGGGAATGGATGAAAGCTTTCTCTAGTAAACTGGTATTACACCTGAGGAGTTAGCTGGTTTGGGATGTCTTAGCGAGCAAGACTCAGACCCATGTTCTGATGCAACCACCATAATCCATACCTGAGTTTGAACAAATGAAGTCCTCTGTGTCCGCATTTCCTGAATCAAACTAAAAATATTGAAGTTCTCAGGAATTATCTACCAAATAAAAGGGGGGGGAAAAAAGTCTTATTCCTTTTGGTTCTATCTCTGTTAATAAATTATTGTCATCTTTTTATAGTCATACTGCCATGACATCTGCTTCCCCAACATGGGATAATAGCAGACAATGAATGCATTTGTTAAACTAAAGAGATTTTTCATGGCTTGCACCATGATTCAGAGCCTGGTGATTTCCTTAGAAAAATGTAAAGAAAAATTTCTGAGTGGTTTCACGTGGAGTGCAAGTATGTGAAACTAAAGTTACATTGTAAGAGAAGGTTCTGTAGAAGTCCAAGAATGAAGAGTTTTAAGAAATACAGGTAGCTCCAAAAGCCTCCCATATCCTACCAGACTTTAAGTGATTTATAGACTGGAACATTATATTTAAATGCAGTAAACTGAGTCCATCTACTAAAGCAGTGCTGGTGTGGCACTGTAGGATAAGCACTGGACCACACCGTTGGTTTGGAAGACAAGGTCGATGGTTCAAACTCACCAGCCGCTCCTCAGAAACCCTATACAGGATTGCTATGAGTCATACATAACTGCCTCGATGGCACTTCACAATAACAACAACAAACACACACTATATGTTAGCACGTATCAGAATCGCCCATAGGGCTTTCAGAGTTTCTGGTTTACACAGTCTAGGTACGGGCCCAAGAATTGGCATTCCTAACAAGTTCTCAGAAAAAAAAAAAATGATGCTGCTTGTCTGCGGACTGCACTTTGAGAGTGACTGACTTAGGAGCTATTTGAATCATCTGACTGAGGAAGTGGGTTAATATTCTAGGAAAGATGAATTGTGAAGATAGGTATTTTGAGGGATGAAACAATTCCTAAGGTGAAAGCAGCGAGAAACTCACCCCATCTTTTAACAACATCCATGTATAATCAATAGCACAAATAACACCAGTTCTTCCACAGCCAGCACTGAAATGAAAGAACATTTTTAACTGGTGAATCTTTGACAACAAAACTGGAAATTTTCGCTAGCATATTTGAAGAGGAAGAAGCTGGAGGCAATGGAATTTTCCAAGCTCTATCATTTTCCAATGCATGTTTGTTAATTGTCACATGCCACAATGAACCTCAGGACAGATCCTAGGCAACACTTTACAGCAAGAATCTCTAGAACTGTTCTGTTCACAAGTAATTTATCAAAAACAAACAAACCATGACTTTAATGCTCAAGATAAATTTAATATAGTTTGTTTCTACTACGTTGTTTCCTTTGTAATTACTCTCATTTCTAAACTTCATTCGTATCGGATCAAATGGCAAAAAGACTTATATACTATGTACTCCTAGTAACTTATAGTCTAACAGTGAGTCTTTCTTCAGTTTTATCAGACGTTCTAGCTAAACTGACCTGTGCTGTTTGGGGTAAAGGGTCAGACCAGCAGCATACCTGCAGTGAATGCATATAGGGACATTGTCATCTACTTGGTAACAACGCACATCCCAGATGAGCTCAAGAATAGGGTCTATAGAAGAAGGCACATCATGATCTGGCCAATTCTTATAATGAAACTGGTAGATAGTTCGAGTTTCCTAGAAAAGATAGCCAAAATAGAAGGTGAGTGCGAGTTTAGAACTCCGTTTCATTCTGACACAAGATTACTCTGACTTAATAAATAGCATCTATATCCTTTTTGTAATTGATGCTGTTTTAATTTCCTGAAGTGACCTTCTGAGTATAATAAAAAATGATGTCAGGTCACTTATTGTTGAACTGTCCCCATCTGTCTTGCTCATAAGAGGAAGTAAATATGAGGATAGAGCTTCCCATCGGGTGCGCCTCAAATGGGCCACAAGCATGCTGATATATTAAATAAATTCCTTGGTTTTTGGAGAGACTAGGCAGGACCTAGGGAAGCCTGAGCTCTTGAGTTGGTCTCCAGCCTCTATTCACTGTGCAGCCTCTGTTCACCCTACAACTATTATTACTGCAGATGTGTGCCATGGTGTGGCAAAGTTTGGGGAGGACAGTGCTGTACCAAAATTCTCTTTTGATGATGAAGACTTATCCAGGACATCAAAGGTCCCAATACTCTCTAGTTCAACCTGAGTCACACATATGTCTGATCTATGAAGACATTTTAGTTTATCCCTCTTATTCTTTGGTCCTGATGTGGTACTGTAGGATAAGCACTGGCCACGAGGTCAGTTTGAACCACAAGGTCAGCTGTTCAAATCTACCAGTTGCTCCCCAGAAATGCTATACAGGCTCGCTATGAGTCGATACTGACTATACGGCACTTAACAACAACAATCTATACTTACACCATTAAATTTGGCTTTTAGAGTCCTGATTGTGTAATCAGACTTTCTTTTTTCAACTTCCTAAGAAGCAAAAGATGAAAATGTTATTTCTAAAGACAAATTCATTACAAATTCAATCCTGGAAATTTTGTTCAGCCACAATGGGAACAGGCACATACTCACACAGGATACGGAGAAAGGGCCAACCTGTAGTTGCTTCTCTCCTGGCTCAGCCCAGTAGCGCTCACACTTTTTCTGTTGCACAAAGTAGAATGTAGTGATTTCCCTCCATTCTAGTCACTTCTGGATAAAACAACCTAGCCCCTCATTCAAAAGCAAATTCAGCTCGATGTCCTTCACCTTAGGTTAGGGAACGTCTTACTTCCTTAAGTTTCATTCCCAACATCATGGTCTGGAAATCCCAGAGCATGGGAAAACAAATATTAAAGGATACATATAATACAGACTACCTGGAAGTCTGAAATGGCAAATACCAGAAGCTTTGATTTCTTCTCAATATTTTAAAAGGACTAACAAAAATCATATGTGTGCCAAGACAAAGTTATATAATTGACATGAAGCACCATGTTTTCTTGGTTATGATTGAAATTGTATCAACTCAGAATAGCACAGTATTAGGTCAGGTAGGTTACAACAGTGGTGTCCATTAGAAATATAATGTAAACCACACATGTAATTTTGAATTTCTGATAGCCACATTCAAAAACAATGAAAAAGTGAAGTGAATTATAACAATATACCTAACTGAATCCAATATGTCCAAAAATTTAAAAGATGTAAACAATGTAAAAGTTAATGGATACTTTACATTTTTACACTAAGTCTTTAAAATCTAGTGCTTCTTTTATATTTATGTTAAGTGCTGTCGAGTCAGTTCCGACTCATAGCAACTCTGTATAGGGTTTCCAAGGAGCAGCTGGTGAGGTTGAACCCGCCAACCTTGGGGTTCAAACTGACCTTGCAGTCCAGCACATTGACCCTCAGCGCCACACCAGGACTCCTTTATATTTATTGTTGTTGTTGTTGTCAGGTGCCATCAAATCGGAACCAACTCATAGCGACCCCATGCACAGCAGAACAAAACAATGTCCGAGCCTGGGCCAACCTCATTACCGCTGCCACACTCGATGCCATCAATGATGCCACCTGGCCGATCCATCTCGTTGGGGGTCTTCCTCTTTTTCTCTGACCCTCCATCTTACCCAGCATGACATCCTTTTCCAGGTTTATAGCAAACCTCAAATAGTTCATTGGAAAGATTTTATTTAGATTTAATAAATTTTCAGTGCAACAAATAGATTCACATACCCAACATGTTCAAAACAGACTTAGGAGTTTTCCAGTAACTGTTCGTTCTAAGTAGCAGTTTAAATTTTGAAATAATTAAAATGAAATAAAACATTAAAATTCTATTTTTTTAGTCCTACTAGACGTATTTCAAGTGTTCCAAAGGCACCTGTGGCTAGTGGCTGCTGTGCGGTGCAGTGCAGAGTTCGAAGCTCTGACTGGCAGTTAAAAGTATCTGACTAATGGAAATGGGAACGTGAACTGTAACATTAAAATTTTTAAGTTTGTATTTTAAAACACAGACTATTGGGAAGACTGGCAAAAGGGGTTCTTGTTGTGTTTTTTTTTTTTAATGACCGGAGAGTCACATGGTATGCTCAAACATTAACATAATTTTTACACTCACTAACTGGTGTGGCACTAGACCACAAGGTCAGTTTGAACCCCAAGGTCGATGGCTCAAGCTCATTAGTCACTCCTTGGAAACCCTATACAAGGGTCTCTATGAGTCAGAACCCACACGACACCACTTAACAAGTAAAGTTCTACTACCAGTTTTCCCCTCCTTTTTCTTCTTTCCTTTACTTTTAGGTAAATGGATACCAGAAAGCAACTCACCTTCCCCATTTCAAACTCCATGCATGCCATAATAATGATCTGGGGGGATAAATGTATAGAGAAACTTAAATATCTGTTATATTTAGAGAATGAGACCCACAGCCAGGAAGTGCTAATTGTTCTTTCTTTCTTTTTCTGTTTTGTTTGGTTTGATTTTAAAATCAAAGGAAAAAAAGAAAGACTAATAAATGATACAATGCTACTCCTGCTCTTCCTTCTTTTTTTCCCACTTCCCTCTTCTCTATTCATGTCAGTAAATTAACTTCCTGTTACCAAATGAGGCTGTCAAAGTGAGAACTTTCATTTCCTTGAACAACACTGAAATTCCATCAGCCAACAACCCCACTCCCCAGGAAAACAAAACAAAACAAAACACATTGGTTGAGTTAGACAAAAAACTTCAGTCACATATCCTGATACTGTACCCCCTCCATCCCTAAAAACTAGAGTGAAATAACAACTCTGCGCTTACCAGGACATTGTATTCCCAAATCATCCTCCAGAAATCCTGGACAGTTGTAGGCAAAGGACCCTGGGTGGCAATATAAGCCTTGGGTCCATAAACCCCCTACAGAGTAACAGAAATTGCATAAGGTGACTACAAATAATACCTTCTTATTCTTGTCTCATGCTATATATATATA